TTTTGTTTTTTATACTAAAATATAATCTTATAGTATGAAATCTCTATAAATACATATTAGAGAGACATTATAATAATATTATATTTATGTAAAAATCGTTTTATCTGAATAAACGGCTCAGATTTATCTGAGTATGTCAGAAAGAGTATGTCACATTTAAAGTATGTCACAAAGAAAAAATTTCATGTTCACGATTTTTTCTCGCCTTTTTAGGGTGTAAGGAAGAAGAAAATTCATGTAGAAATAGTGTGCCCTCCAAATTTTTTTTAATTTTTTTTTGGCCGCCTAACTGGCGTTTATTTGTAGAATTGCTCATATATGTATATATATATATATGTAATATAGTATTAATTTAAAACAAAAATGTCAGAAAGATGTTTGCTCTGAATAAAGTACGTTAAAAATTATTTAGCAAATATGAACCAGAATAAATGGAATATTTGAAAGTTTTCATAAAAGAATCGTACCTGATTTCAAAATTTTTATTTTCCCAGCAATATTTCCCCCCAAAATTTTTATTTTCCCAGCAAACTATATTTTTTTCAAAAGCCTTAATTTTACTCCTCAAATTTTTAAATTCAACTATAGTCTGAAAAAATATTGTCTACTTGAGATTTTCACAAAAAAAAAGTCATTATTTTTTAAGAAAATATCGGCAAAATATTCATTTGATTATCAAAATAAATATTTAAGTCATTAATTTCTAGCACAAAATTGTGCAAAAACATTTTAATCTTATCATACTAGATATTTTAGAATATCCCCTCACGAATTTTGAGCCATATGTTGCGCTCAGAAAATACTTTACAAATCCTGTAGAGAACTACAGTAAAAATTCTAAAAGTTTTATTTTGCAAAAGAACAATCGTGTTAAAAAGTAAACAATTACAAAAGAACAATAGTGAAAAAAAGTAATCAAGTACAAAAAAACAATAGTGGAAAAAGTAAACAATTACAATAGCATTTAGTACTTAATTTTAAAATACTTTTTACAAAAATAGCATTTTTTCAGATTTTCAGAAAAAGTATTAATAAATAAGAACGAAATAATATATATAAAATAATAAACGTGGTAAGAAAGCTGAATTTCAGTAATTTTTCACAACCCGGAAGTGAAACCAGTAACTATAAAATAATAAATATTAATGAACGAAGTATTTATTTGTTAAAAATTATAAATTTGATTTATATTTAATTAATTAAACGTATTTTAATTAATATCAATACAACTTATAATAATTTTATATACCAGGATCTCAAACCAAGATTTAGTTTTTAAAGTTACCATAAATTTCCAATTAAATAAAATTATTATTATTATAAGTACTATTTAGAGAGAGATTATTATAAAATAGCGACTAAGACGCATTCATATAGCCAAAAATGTAATTGCTATTTCCTGTTACTAAAAATATTATACTTTTTCCCGAATCTTCCGCATCGGGAAATTTGAAAGAAGGAGAAAAATTCAATCGATCAGGATACGGGGAGATTGAATCTTTTCTTACAAATTTGAAATACACTAAATAAATCTTAACAAAACGTATAAAGATTAAAGATTATTAAATAACATTACCTTGAAATTGAATAGAAAATCAAATTTCCGTTTTAAAAAGCAGGATCAATTCACATTAAAGGATGCTGTATTTCTCTTTACACAGCCAACATCAGAAATGGCTTACTGAGTGGATGTTGTGCGCATGGGGTTGCATTGGATAAAACCTAATTTCAAAAAGGGGAGTTTGTTCTATCATACCTCTTTTATTAATTTAAACGGTCGCAGAATATATATTAAACAAATTTTTCATGCTCTTTTTATTATTTTACGTTAATTTAGGACAAAGTAAGATTAAAAAAAAATATTTAGCATTTCCATAATTTATGATTATGAAATACAACGAGAAATACCGGTGAGCGGCGTTAAAGGTAAAATCTTTCAAACGCGGCTCACTTACAAACAATAATTTCTCAAATTGAGCTCATTTGCAATTATTTAAATCTAAGAAACATTTATTCAACATTGATTTTTTTTTAAATGTACAAAATCAATTATAGATGAACTTTTGAATATGAATGAAAAAAAAAATTCAAAATTCTTTTTCAATGTTTTTTATAATTAAAAAATACTAAAATACCATTACGAAATTACTGAAAAAATTTAACTTAAAATTATTTGTTTGTTGAAATATTATTATTTTTTCTAGATTTTCGAAATGTCTTCTTGTATCATTAATTAATATTGATCATTAATTAATATTGAGATTCCATCTATTTACTAAAACTGTATTTCACTAACTCATTGACATCGAATGTTAATAATATTTCGCACAGACTTTTTGCTTAGCGTAGTGATGTATCATTGATTAATATTGAGATTCCATCTATTTACTAAAACTGTATTTCACTAACTCATTGACATCCAACGTTAATAATATTTCTCACAGACTTTTTGCTTAGCGTAGTGACGTATCATTAATTAATATTGAGATTCTATCTATTTACTAAATCTGTATTTCACTAACTCATTGACATCCAATGCTAATAATATTTCTTACAAATTTTTGCTTAGCGCAGTGATGTATCATTAATTAATATTGAGATTCCATCTATTTACTAAAACTGTATTTCATTAACTCATTGACATCCAATGTTAATAATATTTCTTACAGACTTTTAGCTTAGCGCAGTGATGTATCATTAATTAATATTGAGATTCCATCTATTTACTAAAACTGTATTTCACTAACTCATTGACATCGAATGTTAATAATATTTCGCACAGACTTTTTGCTTTGCGTAGTGATGTATTATTAATTAATATTGAGATTCCATCTATTTACTAAAACTGTATTTCACTAACTCATTGACATCGAATGTTAATAATATTTCTTACAGACTTTTAGCTTAGCGCAGTGATGTATCATTAATTAACATTGAGATTCCATCTATTTACTAAAAATGTATTTCACTAACTCATTGACATCCAATGTTAATAATATTTCTCACAGACTTTTAGCTTAGCGCAGTGATGTATCATTAATTAATATTGAGGTTCCATCTATTTACTAAAAATGTATTCCACTAACTCATTGACATCCAATGTTAATAATATTTCTCACAGACTTTTTGCTCAGCGTAGTGATGTATCATTAACTAATATTGAGATTCCATTCAAACACTATAACGTTAACATAATTCTTCATTATTGTTATAAAATATAATTTTCTGCTTTGAACCAGAGATTATCGTACTTCACATCCAAGTTGCATTTTTTTCAAAAAACATAACTAATATTAATGCTAATTATACCATATTTATCTGGATAATTAATAAAAAAGTCTTAAGAAGCTTTTTGTTTTATTTGAGAAAATTGAAATAGTTCTTAAGATTTATTTCGGAATGCCTTCTTTCACTTACCAAAACGATATATAGTTAATACATTAACTTCCATTCGCATTTTTTTGTAACTATACAAATACTTTTACTAATACTAAATATAATGGGTGTTGAACTGGGCAATTACGAAAACAATCTTATATGAAGCTTTTTAATTCAATTGAAAAATGTGAAATTATCTAAGATTCATGAATGTAACGTAAAATGTCTTTTCAGTAACTGAAATGATATTTAATTACTTAATTTACATCAAAATAGTACTTTTTTTTTAATGATTATACCCATAAAATATGCAGAACTATTTTTTTACTGTAAAATATGCAGAAAAAGTGTTTGTTCAAATGATTTGCTTTGTTCAGAAAATGTTAAAATGCTTCTAAATCTCGGAATTTCAAATGTAACGTTCGATTAATCACAACAACTGTATTTGATGAACTCCAAATTTTTCAAAACTATATAAATACTAATATTTGGTACTAAAGGGTTGAATTTTTTTTTAGAAGCATATTGGAACAACAAAATGTTGTTTTTGCAATATGACGGATTTTTGATTTTTAATTCATTTTTGCAAACTCTCATTATGGCTGTTTTAAATGCAATGATTTTTGTAAAAAAAACTTTTGTCTTAATTTTTTAAAATTTAAATTTGTTCTGTATTCGCTTAGCTCGTTAAGCTCTTCGCTATACAGAATTATTAACTTAAGAAAAATTTATAAATTTAAGTTTGAAAGACATATCTAAAAGAAAAGCTGAAGACTTTTATATCCTTTTTTCGTGAATTTCAAGGTATTGTTGTTGAATTAAATTTGTGTATTAAATATCTGACTTTATTCTACATATTAACTCATTTGTGTAGTCCAACATATTTGTGAATTAAATTATATGCTTACTCTTACTTATTTTTGTGTTAAATTAAATGCGTTGAATTAAATGTGTATTCTGATCTTTTTTCTATTAAATTGTAGAAGGGTAATTTTACTTATTAGTTTTTTTTTAAATATCTGCTCTTGTTTGTATATTAAATTTTCGCACTTCGAGTATTAAATAATTTCTCTTATTTGGATGCTATAATATTTGTTATATTAAATAATTTCTCTCATTTGTGTGCTAAATATCTGCTCTTATTTGTGTACTGTAACCTCTTTGAGTATTAAACATCTGCTTTTAATTATGTATTAAATAATTTGTTTACTGTAATTCATTTGTATTTTAAATTTCTACTTTTAATTGTGAGTTAAACTATTTGCATACTTATTTGTGTATAAAATGTCGTTTCTGATTGTTACTACTTTTTTAAAAGGTAGTAGTTGAACACCGATGGGCACCTGTGAATTTAAGAAAGGAAGTTTGTCACAAATATCCGTGCTTGAGCCTCATTTACACGTCACACTGCAGAGAGCAATAACCAACGGGATTCGAACCTGCAAGCATTGGCTTCACAGGCAGGCACGCTGACCGCTCGGCCACCTGACCGGCAAGCTGCTGTTCTTATTTGTTCATTAAACTATTTGAATACTCATTTGTGTATTATATATCTGCTCTTATTTGTACATTAAACTACTTGAATACTTATAGTGTACTACATATCTGTTCTTAACTTATTTGTGTACTATATATCTGCTCTTAACTTATTTGTGTACTATACATCTGCTCTTGTTTGTGCATTAAACTATTTGAATACTTATTTGTGTACTAATTATTTTCTCTGCATTGAAAGAATGATATTTAATTAAACTAATTTTAAAAAATAACCACTGACCATTCATCACATAAATTATTCATCTATCTAGCCTTTGTTATTTTGTATAAAATTAATGTTTGCAGGAAAAAAAAATATGTGAAAAAAAAACTGGTTATGATAAAATATTCATTTTACATATTTTGCATTAAACTATTTGAATACTTATTTGTGTATTAAGTATTTTTTTCTGGATTGAAATAATGATATTTAATTAAACTAATTTAGAAAAATAACAACTGACCATTCATCACATAAATTATTCATCTATCTAGCCTTTGTTATTTTGTGTAAAATTAATGTTTGCAGGAAAATAAAATATGTGAAAAAAAAACTGGTTATGATAAAATATTTATTTTATATATTTTGCATTAAACTATTTGAATACTTATTTGTGTATTAAGTATTTTTTCTGGATTGAAAGAATGATATTTAATTAAACTAATTTAGAAAAATAACCACTGACCATTCATTACATAAATTATTCATCTATCTAGCCTTTGTTATTTTGTGTAAAATTAATGCTTGCAGGAAGAAAAAAAATGTGTAAAAAAACAAACAAATTGGTTATGATAAATTATTTATTTTACATATTTTACAGCTTGTCTTTACAGTTTTTGTACTGAATCATAGTTTCAAACAGTATTTTACTTTCTATCTACATTCGACAATTTACAGATGACAAATTTGATTGTAGAAATAAAAATGGCACCAAATTTGATTTGGATTGTTTCATCGACGATTATTCTTCAAAATAAGGATAAAAACGATGAAATAATACCTATATAGAAATAAATGTTCCATGATTACAAAACATAAATAGAAAATACATTTATATAATTGGCACCTATGTAATAAAAACAATGGAATATAATTGAAAATAGAACGTAATTAAGGTTATAGTGAAAGTTAAATACGCATAATTAGCATTAACACGTAATTAAATACCCGTTAAAAATAATTATACGGCAATTATGCAGTTTGCTGATTAATGAAGGTTTTGAGAGAAACCAATACCGAATTTTTTAATAAATCCCATTATAGTTGCGAAGCCTAATTAAATAATGTACTTACCAACAATATAATTTCGATTATGGATCAATTATTTAAAATACATCTTACCTTTTGATTTCATATTAACTCAGCTATATAATATGTATAAGAAATAATACTTACTTGATATCCTTAACAAAACTGATTCTTTGACTGATTTATGTATGATCAGACCTCGACTAATCATAATGTTTATATGCGTGATTAGAGTTTGACTATTTATACATATGATGAAACTTCGAGTGATACTGTTGATTATACGCATGATTAGACTTCGATTAATATTACCGTTAATAAATATGATTGCGGTTTATATGCGGGATTTGACTTAATTGATTTGACTTTGATTAAATAATATTAAACTTCGAGCATATAATAATATTATTTGATTTGTGTTATTTGTGCTGATAAGTGTTATTTTTCAAGGAACAGACAAGTGTATATGGATGTATGTAAAACTATACGCTCTTCATCAACTTGAACAATCAGACAGAAAAAAAATTAATTAAAAATAACATTTTGAAAAAAAAACCTATGGCTTTCGGAAGAAAAAAACTATTTGAAATCCCTACATCTGAATTAGGTAAGATCTAGTACTTGTACAGTCTCTGTCAAAATTACTAAACGCACTATAAGATTCTACGTAAAATCTTAATTATCAGGTGATACTGTAGCGACTAGTATCAACCACCATCAACAGATGGCGATACCAAGGAATGACGTCAAACCCCTTGGTATCGCCATCTGTTGATGGTGGCTGATACTAGTCGCTACAATACTATACAACTTTATTGTTTTTACGCGACTGAAACCGGTTTGCACTTGTTTACGTTCGCGTATCAATTGGTTAATATTGGTTCACATACGTTAAAAATAAATACAAATATGAAGTATATAAAAAATCTCCCGAATAAAAACCCATTACATGTATGTTTAAATATAAAAGTATTGCATATAAACTCGTGCAAAACATGTAATTATTAAAAAACTACAGTGCTTTTAATAATTTGGTCTAATTATTATAATACACTAATATAATACCTGATATAATAAATATTCTATATTTATATAATATGTCGTCTAATTTATACAATCGTCGAATTTATATCATATATCGTCTAATTTAACCAATGGGATACACAAACGTAAGCAAGTGCAAACCTGTTTTAGTCGCGTAAAAACAATAAAGCTGTATAGTATCTCCTGATAGTTAGGATTTTACATAGAAGCTTATAGTGCGCCTAATAATTTAGCCATGTATAGATGCAACAAAAAATTTCTTCCTAGAGACATTGTTACTAGAATTTATTATTACTCTTACCTTTATTATTATTTTTTTAAATTTTAAAACATAACGGAATTATGGTTTATTTAATCTAAAGAGTAATAAGTTAAACAATCAAAGCTCATAATTTCAGAGAAATATTTGATAAATTTTGTACATTACTTACATGTGTTTCATTTTCTCTATTCTTTACCAGCCATGATAGCCACCATGATATCCATGATGGTGACTTATTGGATGCCCTACGTGAGTGCTGTGATAAAGCTTGATGTATTTAATGACAGGTACAGGGGGTGGTATATGCTTTACAACTTTAACAACGTGGACGGGTTTTATAATCTTGATAATTTTTGGCTCTTCATAATGTCCTCCATAATAACCACTTGCGGCCACAGAAGCAATCAACAGCAGAGAAATTAATCCAAAAGCCTAAAAAAAATTTTTACAAAAATAAAATTAAAGTGATAAATCAAAAACTAAAAAGTGAATAATTTTGATTACTTTTCCTTTTGTTTTTATATCTTATTTGTATTTATGGCCCAGTAATATAAATTCATTAATGCTTGACCGCAAATATTGCAATAAGTAAAATGCGCAAAGTGGTAGTACTTGAAAATTTTAGCCTAGTGGATATTTTTTCTGTTGCCATTCATACCATTTTAAAATTGAAATGACATTATAATCAGATACAAAATAAATATTTCTATAGTTAAACCCCGTTATAGTGCACTGTCTGCGGATCTAGCAATAAGTTCACTATAAATGGGGCTTTACTATATCCGAATTCGTTAAAAACTATTACTTAGCATACGATAACAGTATTGATCGAAAAAGTGATTATGATAGTACGCATTTGTTTTTATATTATTAACCAATTAAATAAATAATACATCAAATATTACAATAAAAAAAATTATAAATTAAATTTTACATTCTATAGAGGAAATTAGTATTTCTTGATTGACTACAATTTGATTTTAGGAAGAGTTTACCAATTTTTTTTATCAATAATTAGTTACGAATCATATTTTCTAGACATAATTTCTCTCAATGAAAATGCCAATTAAATATTTTTTAATGTCAATTTCACTTCCGAGGTAAGAGATGTTTTAACTTTTCTTTTATTTCTTTAACATAGATGGATGAATGGGTTACTTAACAACTTGTCCACCCTAGTTTAAAAGCGAAGATCGTGCATGAGTAAGATTTGTCACAATGTTACGAAATGCCATCATTTGCAATCGCAACTCCTGCAAATTTAAAATTGGAGAATTGAAAAAGAACTGTAGAAATGAAATAAAATTTCACTATAAGCGAACTTATAATTTTTAATCTGTCCTCAATAAGCATACAAATAACATTAGTTAAATGGAAATTTGGAAAGGGCCACTAAAAAAGTTCGTTACAACCAAGTGTTCCCTATATCCCAGGTTCATTATAGTGGGGTTCGGCTGTATTAATAGTATATTGAGATGGACAGAAGTGTAGTAAAAAATTTTCGTGTAACGGAACACCAAAAATGGTAGCAACTACTTTCATGCAACGTTTTCCACTAAGTGTTCCACTGCACCAAAGCCCAAGTATAGTTCCTGGTGCTGTAAAACACTTAGAATGTTCTTTTACACCATCGTAAAGTCACCATGTTTGTTACTTGGTAAGCTCAAAATTTCTAATTACAATAATATACGATACACATAAGAATCGGTAAAATTATTTTTACGAGACAATATTAAATAAGAACCAGTAATTTACGATACATACATGCACTAATTCTTAAAATAAAATTAGTTTGTAAATCAAACATACGAGAGGCCGAGAGAATATTATGAAGAATTCAAACTAGCCTTAAAAGAGCGGGAGCGGATTTAAAGAATACATTATACAATTATTTGATACATTTTACAGATAAGTTAAAATATAAATATCCTTATTACGCAACTGGAAACATACAAGCATATTTTTAACAGCAAACTTTAGTTTCTGCAGGACAAGCAAACACTCGCCAACTCGTTATCGATTGTAAGCACCGGCGAAATCAAAACCCGCCAACCCTGGAGTTTTCCGAAGCTATAATATTTAACGTTTGGTGCGAATGCGAGTGATCTTGGTGTAAACATTTTGTATTTTCGGTGTTTAGGACTTATATTCACCCTTTAAATAGTATATGAAAGCTTGATTTGGTGTTAACTTGAATAAAATTTTAGGGTTGTTCATTATAAAATTTGTAGAGAAAAATTTTATTACACCATGGTTTTTACACTGTGAAGAATTAATTCTAAATTTCTGCAACTTCTTATTTCAAAAAAAATCTCTAATCTTAAATGGGTTAAGGAGATAGAATTTTCTCTTTCTTCAAGAAAAAAATTTAGTTATTAGAATCAGATGAGAAAAAACTTAATATGTTTCAAGAAATTATACTTATTTAATCAAATTTATTGTACACAAGCTATTTAAAACAGGCACCGACGGAAATATAGCAGTTTCAAGTTAAAAGCTAATTATTTTGAATAAACAAATATACTAAATTTAGAAAGCCTATCAAGCCTATCACTTTCAAGTTTTTATCGATTTGGAGGGGTCTGGCAGAGTGCTATAGCCCACCAAACGCTGTGCAAAGTGTGGAGGTAGTGGGTTCAAATTCCGCTGCTGTCCTGACACAAGCCTTCAAATGTATGTAATTCCAATAAATAAAAAAGAAATCGATTAGGATTTTTAAATTTGGAATATTCCACAAAATAGTGACTTTTGTAGGGTAAAAACCTTCCAAAAATGTACTTCTAAATTAAGATTTTGTCCCTGAAATTATAATATTTCATATTTTTTTAGTAAAGAAAAAATATCCAGTTAAAATCTATAGGTATATGGAAAATATTATGATACTTAAATAGAAAGGAATAAAAATTTACTTGACTGATTTGATAATCGTACCGGCACCGATTTTTAAAACGTAGTTTCGAACTTAATTAATTTTAAATTTTGGTATAAAGTTGTAGATTCTAATAAGAATTTGTTTGATTTAAATAATTCTCTTTGATCTTTAAATAATTAATACGGTTTGAGGTTCTCTATTTTAGATGTGAAACTTTTAAAAAATGAAATAAAAACTGATTTTATTACACCCCGAAAAATAACAATGCTTCCCTAAATTAAAAAAAATGATAAAATAAACCGAAAATTACATGAATGTATGTATATAAAATAATAATCTAGTTGAACTAACAATACAACTGCTTTTCAGATCACAGATTCAGATTTAAAAGTGAAAAAACAATAAAATCAGTCAACAGGAATATTTTGGTGTGATTTAGAACCATTCAAGCATTTCTCAAATTCTTCTTTTGAAAACAGTCGAAGTAAAACTCTTATTTGTTTTTACTTTTTGTTTTTGGGAGTAAAATTTCAGCAAACGAAAGAGACATTTGTTTTGAATGATTTGAAGGTACAAAGTGCATTCATACAAAACTTTTATCAGTATGTGCTATTTTTTAAATTAGTATTGAAATATATTCAAGAACTTTCCAATGTAATAAATTCATTTTCTGGTAAGTATATATATTCAAAACATATATACATATATTCAAATATTTTTACCCATTTAATTTTAGATTAATGCTAAATAAAATTATTTACATATTAATTTTGAAGTTTTTATTAAAAAAAATGAAAATTCCAGTTTTCATGGGATTTAGAAAATTAATTCTCCGATAGTAAAGAGTACCTACATCTCTAATGACGCAGGAAAATATTTTGTAATTTTTTATAATTTTTATAAGTTAATAAGAAAACTTTTATTTTCTTTGATATATGAATTAAAAATCGCAGTTTCTGCCATTATTTAAAACACGAGTCTTAGGAAGTTAAAATATAAAAATATTGTGTTGGAGAAATTGAAGCTTTAACACAATATAAATCTTTATCAATTTAGAAATAAAATAATAAAAATTGCATTTTCTGCCATTATTTAAAGCTCGAGTCTCGGGAAGTGAAGGAAAAAAATATTTGTATCGATCGGAGAAATTAAAGCCAAAACACTTTATCAGCTCAGAAATAAAATATTTAAAATTAAAAATCAGATTTTCTGCCATTAATTAAAGCTTGAGTCTCGGGAAGTGAAAGAAAGAAAAATATTTGTGTCGGAGAAATTGAAGCCGAAACACTTTATCAATCTTTATCAGCTCAGAAATAAAATATTTAAAATTAAAAATCGAATTTTCTGCCATTAATTAAAGCTCGAGTCTCGGGAAGTGAAAGAAAAAATATTTGCATGATCGGAAAACTAAAGCCGAAACACTTTATCAATCTTTATCAGCTTAAAAAAAAATTCAAAATTAAAATCAGATTTTCTGCCATTATTTAAAGCTCGAGTCTCGGGAAGTGAAGGAAAAAAATATTTGTATTTGAGAAATTAAAGCCGAAACACTTTATCAGTCCTTATCAGCTTAGAAGTAAGATATTCAAAATTAAAATCAAATTTTCTGTCATTATTTAAAGCTCGAGTCTCGGGAAGTGAAGGAAAAAAAAATATTTGTATCAGAGAAATTAAAGCCGAAACACTTTATCAGTCTTTATCAGCTTAGAAATAAAATATTCAAAATTAAAAATCGGATATTCTGCCATTATTTAAAGCTCGAGTCTCGGGAAGTGAAGGAAAAAAATATTACATCGGAGAAATAGAAGCTGTAACACAATATTTCACTTAACATAGACAAAATTAAGAATCACAGTTTCTGCCATTATTTAAAGCTCGAGTCTCGAGAAGTTAAAATGAAGAAATATTGTATCGGAGAAATAGAAGCCATAACACAATATTTCATTTAACATAGTCAAAATTAAAAACCACAATTTCTGCCATTATTTAAATCTCGATTCTCGAGAAGTTAAAAGAAGAAAAAAAATTTATTGTGCCGGAGAAATTGTAGCCGAAACACAATATCAATTTTCAACTACTCACAAAGGTAAAAAATGTACTCACCAAAACTTTCATGGTGGCAATAAATGAATGACTGGTTAGTTTGAGAAGAACAGCTAAGATTTTTTGATTTGAATGACAAGTAATGACCAAGCGGGTTTTATATAGGAAAAAATGACCTCGCTCTCCAAAAGAAGACGAAATCGAAAGTGGGTGTTACCAGTTTTCTCCCTCCCTAAATCACCATATTGTTGAGAAAGGTATACTACACGGAAGTCCAATTCTTCCGGTGCATGCCGACGCGTTGACGAAATACCAGCTCTACCTTCGGGGAACCATTTTGTTATTAGAGATCTTAAAATTTTTTTCTTATTTGCCCTACTTTTATCATTTACACCGCCATTTAGATTGTAAGAATATGGTCCGGGGTTTAGAAAATGAAATTTCAGGTCAAACACACACACAACAAAGAAGCCTGCTGGCTGATCATATTAAATCACGTAGAAAAATAAAAAAAACAAATTTAATTGACGACATCATCAAAAATGTTTTGATCGATATCTACATTAATGAGAATTTTCTCAGGGGTTCAGCGTTGCTTGTTGAAACATGGACCTATTGTAAATTGTATCATTTAGCTGAAGGGTTTGTTGGGAAATAGGTTTGTTAAAAAACGCTCACGTGCTTGTAACATTAACAATGAAAACTGCTGAGAGTTAAACACGTGGATATTACTTTCTGAACGCATTGATTAAAACGAATGTTTTAATTAAAATATTTATTGGGTGTTTGTAGATTAGTTCAAAAAGTTAATAACAAAATACATAATCTCTTCTTAACACGTTCACGCCGGGGTGACCCACCGGTGGGTCATGCTAGATTGTCTCATCGGACGGAGCACAGGAATAAAAATTGGCAACAAATAAATTTCATTTTTTAGTTTTCTTCCGGGAATAATAAAAATCCATAACTACCAAATGTTTTTAACGGATGCAATTTTTATATTGAATTGCTTCTTCGCCGTGATAAATTTCCTTACAGTGAATTGTTATTGTTGAGAATAGATTAACTCCTTCCGAATATTATCTAATATTGAAATAGTTCTTCTACCAGTATTTTCTCTTTTCCGTCCATCTTTCAGGCGCAACACCCGGCGTGAACGTGTTAAATAATGTGTTTTAGGTCGATGAATGGAACCAAAATTTGTATTTTTAAATGAATTTTTATACTATATTACATTTTATGCTTATGAACTTTTAAATTATGTTATACAGTATAAATTTATTTAATACAAAATTATACATTATTTATTTGCATATTTTAAAATACATTATTTATTTATGCATTTTATATCATACTATACATTATTTACATATACATTTTCATGCTATATTATAGATTGTGCATTTATGTAATTTCAAATTACATTAATTAAAGATAAAATTATTTTTATGCTACATTACATTATCTACTTATGAATTTTTAAATTATGTTATACAGTATCAATCTATTTGATATTAAATTATGCGTTATCTATTTATGCATTTTAAACTAGATTATACTATACATTATGTACAGATTCATTTTTTACGCTACATTATACATCATGCATTTATGCAATTTTAAATAATATTAATTGAAGATTAAATTAATATTTATTCTCTACATTGCATTATTTACTTATCAATTTTTAAATTATGTTATACAGTACGAATTTATTTGACATTAAATTATACATTATCAATTTACGCATTTTAAAAAATATAGTCAATTTTTTCATTTTAAATTATACTATACATTATCTACATATACTTATTTTATGCTATATTATACAATGTGCATTTATGTATTTTTGAATTACATTAGTTAAACATTAAATTAATTTTTATGCTACATTACATTATCCATTTAAAGATTTTTTAATTGCATTACACATTATCTATTTATTTGATTTTAAATTATATAATACGCATTTTAAAATACTTTGTTAATAAAGTTACTTGATGCATTGTGCTTATACGCATTTTTAAGTTACCTTAACTTTATTTATTTGAGAATTTTTAAAATAAATTATAAGACATACATTCAGACATTTATTCAATTTTAAAATAAATTAGGCATGATGAATTTTTTAAATTGATTAAAAAATTACACATTTAAAAAAGCATAACAATTCTAGGCGTTTTATTTCATCATAGTTTTCCGAAATCAGTGTTTGAACAAATATCCTAAATAACTTTCGGTCTAAAGATCGGATTTCTTGCAGACTTAATGATTCTAGGGCTTAACCTTAAATGTGCAATTCAATAGTGCAGACAGTATTTCAAGTTGCGAAATATGGCGTATAACCATACTATCTCTGAATAAACATAAATTCTTTGACGCTTTTGATTTATTGACTATCAAAACATGGGATGCACCCGCAATCTCGAATATATGGTCACAGTAGTATGGCCTGAAGCTTCGAATCCTTAATATTTAGTTCACTTTTCAAGTTTTATACCTCATCTATCCTTGCTGATTTCGCACAATGGAGCAACATTGCTTTTGAGTTGTCAATAATGTAATCTATGCTTTATTAATTTTTGAACTACAGACAGTGAGCATATAGAATAAGAATCGTGTCACCCTATAATAATATTTTTAAATAAATCTATGACATAAAAAAACAAATATATGACATATTCACTACAATTTTCATATAGTTAATTTATTTTTTATAACATCAAATCATATTTATTAAAACGTAAAATTGTGGCGGCTGAACTTTTTTTTAATGTATCTTAAATTTGTCAGGGAAAATTCCGATATTTTCCAAAACTCTTGTTTCTATCACTGTTATTTGTGTATATCTGAAATTATTCACCTGCTTTTTTATTTGTTTCCTAATTAATTTTAACATATATTTTGCTATATATTTATCCTTTCATGCTATGCTTCATTAATTTCCTAACTTATCCATTTTGTAACTTTTTATTCATAATTTTGTAACAAGTTTAGCTTATTCGATTCTGTAACTCAACAATTGGTATATTTATTTTAAAATTTTTTAATTAAATTTTTGCACTTCTAAATAGGATATGGAAAAAATACTATGAAAATTATTAAATTTATTGTCACTCTAAAATGAGGCCTTTTTTTTCCTTAGTACAAAAACACATTCACTAACTTAAAGTAACGTAATTTAACACGATTCATCTATTTTAATAAGAACGATTCATAGAAAAGCAGGATAAAAAAAAAATGAGATGTGTATTTTAATTTATATTCTGCCTCAAAAATGAGACACAGAAAACGTTTTTGTTGTTATTTTTGAAGTATTCATTGGTCTTTAAAATTTCAAAAGAATTTTTAAGTTGTTCGAATCATATAATAGTCTCATTTGTGATAACTTAATTTTTTGTTTTTGTTTATTTATTGTTGTTTACACAATAGCTTTTATTGTTTGTAATTTGCTTTATAAGTTCAAACATTTATTATTAGATTGTTATGCATTCTTTGTGTCTGAAAACTGTTTGACCTACTTTATTTTATCTGTCCCTTGCAGAATGGTAATAATTGTTTCTTATTTGGTAATAAAAATCTTACTTTTGCTGTGATAACTGATCGTAAAAGTTTTGTTTTATTATTATAACATTGATGAATTGTTTTAGATAAAAGTGTAAGTTCTCAGCCTTTCAACCTAACTACTTTAAAACTACTTTCTTTATTTAAAGTAAATTGTTAAATATAAAAATTGTTAAGATTCTTTTATTTGACTCAATATCTTGTCATATATAAAATCTTTGCTGAATTAGGAATAAATAAACAAATGGACTTTAAATTGTTATATAGTTATGATATGAGAATGTCAAAGTTGATGCTTACTGTTTAAATTATACAAACATTATATTTTTATTTTACAAATCATAAAAAATTTTCTTCAATCAAAATTTTATTTACCTCATAAATTTGCTTTAACTGCTACACAATTGTAACCCTTGGCGGCCAAAGCTGTGGAATTGGCTAATACGTATAAAGGAATTTATCGTTTGGGACATATAAAAAAATGTCAAAGCTAAGTACGGTTGCTTGGACGTAAATATTATTAGCACGAAAACTGCAAATGGGAATCATTACACAAATTTAATCATAGATATCAGTGTCAAAAAAGTAAAAAAGAATAAATTCAGGCATAAAACTGACACCAACAAACTCCACATCATTATACACATACAAAAAGAAAATGCTTAAAACTCATAAATTGTGCAGTTATTTAAATTTAAGGATTTAAAACTAAACAATAAGGTACAACGTCCTGTTGCAATATTAAAAATTGCGTCCACATGCTTGGTAAAGACACCATAAATTATATGAAATAAATTTATAAAAATAATTCGAAAGCTATATCCTACTCACAGAAGAGAAAAAAAAATCAGATATAAAACAAACTAAATCTTTTCTGAAACATGATAAGAATTATAAAACAAGTTTAAGACTGAAAAGGAAGCAAAAAACTAAGAAATAAATATGTGTTTCAGAAAGTCTGATAATAAGGAGACTGATAATACACAAACACTTACACCGAAGAGCCATTACATTATGACCACCCTCCATCTATAACAATGGGCTCGCCCAGGTTTTCATGGTTTCTCGACCAGGAACAATGTTTTCATGGGGCACATTAGGACCCATAATCCTCATAGAACAATCCCTGACGTCTGTAAGCTACTTGAACATAGTTGCAGACCAGGTTCACCCATTCATGGCAACAATTTTTCCTGCGGGGGATGGTGTTTACCAACTGGATAATGCACCATGTCATAAGGGTCAAATCGTCGAAGAAAATTCCAGTGACTTTCAAGTCATGTCTAGGCCCAAATTCACCTGACCTTAATCCAATAGAGCATTTGTGGTCCTACTTGGAAAACCAAATTCGTACTGCCACGCTACTCCCTCGCAATGTGAGGGAATTGCAGGACCAGTTGGTGAGCGCTAGGTACCAGATACCTCAGACTACCTATCAGCACCTTGTGGAATCAATGCCACGGCGGGTGCTAGCAGTTTTGAGGGCTAAAGGTGGTCCTACATGTTATTAGCAGGGTGGTCATAATGTAATGGCTCTTCGGTTTATAAAAGAGTTAAATTTATTCGCATCTCATGTGTTCACTCATGCGTTTTTTAAATCGTATGTTGCAAGTTAAACATGTGCGAATTAGTATTC